CACAATGAGTAAAGCACATAAACGCGTCACAATTCATGCAGTTATTTGGAATCCTCACAGCCGACTGAAAAGAGGAAAATCAAGCAACACATCTGTTAGGATAACCATCCAATGTGCTAAGAGAATTATCAGTCGATTGCTCTTGGTTAATTCCTACTGGTTAATTTTTTGGTCGTCCTAGATATCAGTTTCATTTATTCCAATGTTCTTACTGGTCCTCTTGACTGTCAATGTCATAGACTTCGATATGCTTTCCTATTCGACCTAAATGTATAAATACTCAATATCTGTAAAGCTTTGTAATTCCGTCCCTTCCTGCCTTTCTCTCTACTCTACTTGACCCATTAAACAACTCCATCTAGCGGCGTTGTGCTCTGATATACAGGAGATTGGGAATAGTATTTGGATCGTATTGGAATATTTGAATTCAGACGTCAGTAGGATTTGAATAGCTACGTAGCAGCATTATAACAACATCATGCCAAGAATTTGTAGGAGACACGAATAAACTGGAAAGTTGTTCGATAGAAAGGGAGAGAAAGGGCAAGGACAGATTAGGTTTGAGAATGATAGTCGTGGATCTATATTTCCAATGTGAGTAACAGGCGCAAATAAACAAATGTCGTTGTAAAAAATCGCAAGCTTTAGTCAAACAAAGAAAATCACTAGTGAAGGGATACGTTACAAAGATTTTATTCTATCTAATTTTCAGTACAGATCCAATTTCATAAATCTTTGGAACCGTCATAATTTGAAACCATGACTAATAGTATTCGCATGTTTTCAGATCGGCTTCGAGAAACTGCCGGCATTTTCTAGGGTCAAAGTAGAATCACGAATTAGTGTACGAAGTGAAGATAATGATTTAAAGTATTCAAAGTATCCATTATTTGCATTAGGCAGCTTATGTGCCAGTCACTATCGTGAGATAGCATTCTTATCCGCTCGAACATTTTCGAGAATTTTGGATGCTTTTAACCATTTAGAAACTATTCATCAGTAAATTTTTGCACCATCGATATCACACGAGTAGTGGTGAGTAAATTGCATGAACAGATAATTCTGTGAACGTGCAACCTTGATTCTGACCTCAAAACGTTTGCACAACACAGTCTTATTTGATGCGAATGATAACGAATTCGCTCCAGATTCCGGTCAGATGTACTATTAAACATCCTTGCAAGAACCAAACAGCTCAGTTTACATACAAACCCACACATAACCTGTCTTGCCAATGTACCTCTGAAAACCTTGCTACAGACTTTCACGTTTATTGTGCTTCGGATCCTCGATTGCGAATAACACACAATGACAAACGGTCTCCAGCGACGAATTCTTGTAACAACGGTAACCTCCGTATAACTTCTGGATTACTTCCACAATAGCACATAGTATTTTTTAAAAATTCTAAAAGATATTACAGTTTCACAATGAAAACGACCTTTCTTGTGTTAAGTGGAAATGTTACGGAGCGAAATTCCAGCCTTGTTTACTTGGAAAAGTTAGAATTTCGACGTTTCGAACTCAGTGTTTTTACTGTCCTAATCGATTTGAAGTCAAATATCCACCATTAATACTTCAAGCTGGTATTTAGAGAAAATTATTGTTTATAATTTCTAGACAGTGAACTAATATATCTTAATATATGCTCTTCCAAATGGTATTTATGTTGGATAATGTGAAATGCTTGTTATTGGACAAATATTATTTGTTTTATCACACTAACCAAAAGTGTGTAGGTACGAACATTCTTCCTCGCGGCACCTATTATCGCGAGATCAGATTGTCTATCAGGTATTCCTTCTTTCAAATTTTTTACTTATTCATTCTCCACTTAACATAGTGAGCCGGTTTTTAAATTTTTTATGCATGGGTATTGTGATATTATCATCTTTCATAATCTCTTGTCATAACAAATTTCGAACGGAGCATAGTTTCATAGAAATGTTCAGACTGTCCAATTCTCTAAGCTACCGGTCCTACAAATTTTCGTTTTGAATGAGAGTTAATCTTCTCTCACTATGAACTTTATCATCTTAGACCGAGTTAGTATTTGTAATGTTTGTAATTTCTCCTGTCATACATATACTTATTTGCTTCCCTAATTTGTTCACTTTATTAGAATATTTAAGTGGTGAGAGGTTTACTTCCACTTCAAAATCCTGTATTCCGAAATAGTTTTTAATGATGGATGGAATTAGCTTCACTAAGTTAGATCTATACTTCACAATTGCCATGAATGACAAAATGAATTCGGTAGACCACAATACTCTTCACTAAGCTCTGATCTAAAAGCTTATTTACATTTCAAATTATTCAGTCAAATATAAATAATAGAGTACTGTATTCATTCGCGTTTTTCATCATATCACATTGAAGATTGGTCGTATAAGATATTTTCTAAGTTTAACGCTGTTTTGTCTGCATTTGGTCAGTGAAAATTGGTGTACATGATATGGTATGTGTTTAAGAGTGAGTAATTACATTTTGGATATCGATCACTCAGTTGTTTATGAAGATGCTAATACTTACTTCCTATATATTACAATGTCATATTAACTAAGCTCCTGAATATCAATTGCTATGGAGTTTACGTTGGATAGGCATTACAGAGATAACATTAAATAGAAATTTATCGAATTGCCTTCCTTACGGACAGCAGTTATTCACTCTAAAGGTACTACCAAATATGTTTGCGTGCGTATGGTGCTGAAGCTCTTTACCTCAATAGTTTATAGCAGTAAGTTGTGATTGAGCCACTAGGAAGTCTGTTCATGTGGCTTTAAAAGTAATAGTAATAATAATTGCCACTCGTTTGTCAAATCACAGTAATGTAACTACTCGAAACAATACTTTAAATAAAACAAATGTGACTTAAAGAGAATGCTGACTGTTAAATTATCGTAAACATAGGTATTTTAATAGGAGTTATATAGTTGTCAATGGCCTCCAAGTAATACATCCTTTAAAACTATCGAACGTTGGCATGTCTGAATATTGACTGTTTAATATGGCACTTATTCAATGTTTCCTTGATTAGCCTTATCAATCATGTTTAGTTATTTCATTTTGCTAACGGTTTTATTAAGTGTAGTAACTGAAGTCGATTGCATTGTTACTGAAGATGCCTATATTGTGGAGTGTTCGAAAAGATGTGAGACTAAACAAACTAACATTTAAGCTTAAGAGTAAATCGTATTTGATCATTAAAACAGAGTTTGCTCACCAGGTTCCTTTCAGTACGGTCTTCTAGTTTCTAATATTCAGATATTTACTGATGTATGGGTAGACTGGAAGAAAGCTAGTGGGGCCAGACCAAAACGTGACACAAACTGGATTGAGCTACCTTAGTAGATGTCGACTACCAGATTGGGGTTCACGAGATATTACTAACCGATGGTTAGAAAATTTGAGTGACATGGCTCAAAACCGTTTGTATTGTCGCAGATGCATTCATTCATTGTCTTCTCTCTAATTTTCAACTTCTAAATTCCCCGTAACCTTCATCCTTCTCTTCTCAAACTTATTTCATTAAATTATACTCGTTGACTAACATCTTAAAGTCTTAATCTTTTCGATTACTGCTCATTCTTCTACTACCTCTACTACTATGGGATTTGAATCGACAATTGCATTTCTGTGCTTTTGTTGTGTGAGAACTTGAAATGATGTGTGTAAATACTAAGTTCTACGTTGTAGCTGAGTGACTAACTGACAAACATTTCCTACCATTACGTGCTACCTATTTCAGGAAAGGCTTTTGATGATACATATCCAAGGCATATATAACAATTTTAGCATTCAATCGGAAAAAGTTTCTTCAGTCTCCAAATTGAAAATATCATGAAAATAGTTCTCTTAATAGCAATGGACATACTAGAGAAATGAGTTAACTTTTTTACTCTCCTCCTAAGTTTTGATGTTATTGAAAGTAGTTCTATATTTTTATAACAGCTAATAGATAAGGCTACAACATACTTCATTCTGTTTAAAATGAATGTTTCTGCTATCCAAATTTGTTTCTCTCAGTCAGATTAAAACCCAGTACTGGTAGTAACACAATAATTTCTCAATGCTTCAAAAGTACTGGAAATCCCCTTTTACTTCAGAAAATAGCGATGTATTCAACTGAAATCACTTTCATGTTGTATACTGCGTTCATTTTTAACTCGTTGTCTGTGAGGATTGATTTGATTGTTCTGGGTAGATACAGAACTGCATAAGGAACACAACAAATTTCACATGAAAAAAAGATGACTTCTTGTTATAATCATATTGAGAAGCTTTATTCATTGTGAACTTTCTCGTTGAACATATTTTATAGAGTTTGTTTACGTTAACAGTAACATACTGATTCATCTCGAAGTTTGATATGAGGTTTTTATTTCATTTTTGCTTTTCTGCTGTTATAGAGTTGACAATCCGAAATAAGCTTTCAAAAAGGTTTAACTTCATTATTTCCTTGTTTGACTGGTTAATTGAAATAATGGTTCAAAGAGATTATTACCAATAGTTTTGTATACCGAATCAATCATAAAAATACTAGACTGATTGAAGACGATAAAGTGCTAATCAAGTTTATTCATTTTGATTTCAATGGCAGCTTAAAACATCGTTAACTGAAGAAAATTTTTAATTCAAAATAATACACTAATTTAGGATTTTAATGAAATCTAATAATCTCCATAACCTCATAGTGATAAGAGTAGAATGAATTTCACACAACAAGATAATTCGATTGAATAACGATACATCGTTAATTTGAGGATATAAACCATTTTAACATCAACTGTCATCACGGTTTGTGATTGATCTTAAGTCTAATCTCTACTCATATGGAACATAGTTTAACAATTATATGCCTAGATCTTTTGATCTAAGTAAAAAAATTCAAAGTACAGCTAAATGTTATTATTATTAAAAGTTTATAGATTTATTTCTCATTGAATGAAAATATTTCCTTTTCACTTTTTTTTAATCCAACCACCTGCAGTAGTAGTATGATGATGGAAGAAGTACATGAACTTGACAAAATGAACAATGGTCATGAAAATGTTGTACCAATTGTACAATTGAAAAAAACTATTGGACTTGCTAGTAGTATAACAATTATAGTTGGTTCTGTTATTGGTTCTGGAATATTTGTTAGTCCAACAGGTATTATAGAAAATGTTCATAGTATTGGTGCAAGTCTGATTATATGGGTTGCATGTGGAATTTTTAGTATGTTAGGTGCATATTGTTATGCTGAATTAGGCACAATGATTCATCGATCTGGTGGTGATTATATTTATATTTATGAAGCATTTGGTCCCCTACTTGGTTTTCTTCGTTTATGGTCTGAAGTTGTTGTTGCTAGACCTGCATCTGTAGCAATAATGGCAATAACATTTGGTAAATATATTGCACAACCAATTTTTCCTGATTGTAATCAACCTGAAATTGCTATACGTTTTTTAGCCGCTATATGTATTCGTAAGTTGCTTTATTATGTAATTAGATTTCATATACATAACCTTGTGTTTAATACAATTATGAATATGAATATTATTACGTCAACTAAATAAGTATTCGGCATAAAATGTTGCAAATGGAAATTGGGAGAAATCAGAATCATGAATCAATCAATGTTAGATTACCATTATAAACTTGGAAGCACTGGACAGCCGTTTCGTCTTGGTACGGGATTCATCAGCAGTGCGTATCTATGACTTCTGCTACCTGCAGTATTCAAATCCGGGACCTTAGGTCTTTCTCGCGAACACCTAACATCTGGACCACTGAGCCGGTATCTGACTGTGTTGACGTCTAACCTTGATCAAACCACGGTCTTGATTAACCTCATACAGTGTCTTCTGTGAGCACCGCTTCACACACAAACAAGGCTGAACCCCAAAAGGTCACAACTTCTCACCAGAATTCGGAGAAGATTTCTTACAGAGCTGGTCACTAGTTAGTCAGATAATTTGCATTGCGGGATTGTGAAGATTGTTGAGTTACTTTTTGAAATCATGAAGGTGCATGAGTCATGGATCACACTGCTGATGAGGCCAATACCAGGTTGAAACTGCTGTCAAATTCTTCCAGTGCTTTCTAATGGTTTTCTAGCTTTGATTCATGCATAATTTCAAAAAGTAACTCAACAATCTTTACAACTTCATAATTAAAAGAAATTGACAACTAGTAGATTTTGTATCACATGTGAAATAAATTAAAAATGAGCAAAAAACTAAAAATAACTAATTTTTTACTAAAAGGCACAACTAAATATATTTTAACTGTTAATATGTCATTTAATGTTCTCTTTTTCTTGTTATAAAATGATTCATTACTCGTCTATTTGAGGTTTTAATGTACCAGCAAAATTTATGCACTGGTGCTGTAGTCAAGGAGAACACAGGTGAGGGTAACCGAATTGTATTTAACGAAAATTTCAGACTTACTCCGTAAAATCGGAAAACCATTTCGTAAACGTTAATTTGCAAATCTTCAATCCATCATCAATCCATTGTCTGACGTTTCACTATTCATGCGTTTCATTCAAATTCCATTGTGTTCTCACTCTTCCTTTCTTGATCTTCCCCCCATCTTCTGCTGCCAGACATTACGTTTACACTCACGTCATATACTACTTATAAGTAGCGCACACCACAGTGCAAGTGAATCCGATCCTTGTGTTCTGTTAAATTCTAACCTGATGAATTCCTCATCGCCTTATATCTTTCTCTCCTTCTAAATTTATCTCACTGAATTATAGTTCTTGAATAATTTTGTTCAAACCCTTAATCTTCCCCGTTACCGCTAATACTTCTACTAACTCTACCACTATGAGATCTGAATTGAAAATTCTATCTGTATGTTATTGTGGCATGGCAACCTGAACTGTTATACTTACGTACGAAGTTCTACGTTGTAACTGACTGACTAACTGACTGACTAATCGTTTATTTAAAGATGGCAATGAACTTTGTAATCAAGAGCGATAGAAAAGGGAATGTACTTTTTTTTCTAATGATGTAGAATACTTAAAGAGCCAGTGAAAATAAATGGGTTTACTAGTCATTACAAGTGAATAAACCAGAAGGGATATCTAAAAGTTATAGATAAAAAAACAATTTTGTCAGTTAGTCAGTTACAACGTAGAACTTTGTACGTAGATGTGTCATTCCAAGTCACCATATCACATTCGCACACAGACGCAATTGTAAAAGTATTGGCTGTAATGAAGAAGATAAGGTTTCAGGAATATAATTCGAGAAGTCCAGTTGAGTGAGATAACTTTAAGAAAAGAAAGATAGATGAGTTGAGGAATTTAGAAGATTAGAATTTGAGAGAACACGGTGAGTGGATGAACCTGCACCATTGCAAAACGATTTTAAGCCATGTCATTCAAGGTCTCTAACCATCGGTGACTTTCATCTTGTGGAATAATTTTGTACAAAATAATATATTAAAGGAAAAACGTTTTGGCAATTTTTCCTTGAGAAGAAAAAACTGAAAAAAGGTTAGTGTAAAACAACAGTCATCAACACACTGACATATGAACAGAAAACTCTATTTTCATATTCCATAAGTTCGAGTTCTTGAACTACTGTTACATACTTACTTACTTACTTACGCCTGTTACCCGACAATGGAGCATAGGCCAACTACCAGTTTTCTCCAATCAACTCTGTCCTAGGCTTCCCTCTCCAGTTCTGTTCAATGTTTGTTCATTCCGCTCATATCTTTCTCTATTTCTCGGCGTAATGTGTTCCTTGACCTTCCTCTTTTCCTTTCACCTTGAGGATTATAAGTGAGGGCTTGTCTTGTGACGCAGTTAGGTGCCTTTCGTAATGCGTATCCTATCCACTTCCACCGCTTCTTCCTGATTTCCTCCTCTACTGGAATCTGGTTTGTTCTCTCCAACAGTACGTTGTTGCTGCTTGTGTCTGGCCAACGAATCCGAAGTGTTTTTAGTAGGCAAATGTTAATAAACACTTGTATCTTCTGGATGATGGCTTTCGTAGTTCTCCGAGTTTCCGCTCCACACAGTAGAACTGTGTTTACATTTGTATTGAAAATCCCGATTTTGATTTTGGTTGACAGTTGTTTGGAGTTCCAGATATTTTTCAACTGTAGATATGCAGCCCTTGCTTTGCCAATCCGCGTCCTCACATCTGCATCGGATCCACCTTTCTCGTCGATGATGCTGCCCAGATATGTAAAGGTATTAACGTCCTCCAAGGCATCTCCATCAAGAGTGATTTGGTTGGTGCATGTTGTGTTGCATCGAAGAATTTTGCTTTTTCCTTTATGTATGTTGAAACCTACTTCTGCTGCTGAAGCTTCTGCTACACTTGTCGTCTTCTCTTGCATTTGTTGTTGCGTGTGCAATAGAAGAGTCAGGTCATCTGCGAAGTCCATATCGTCCAGCTGCGTCCTAACTGTCCAGTTGATAAAAAAAAATGTGAATCCGAAGTAAAATAATCTTTAAGTTGTATCTCACAAAACGTCATAAAATGATGACAGGTAGATATAATTAGAATCGACAACCCAATTTGAAAATATATAAGCTACACAATTTCTAACATCAAAACATTTCAACAAGTTATTAAGGTTTTTTATTGTCATTGACATGTTAGTTTTATGTCTGTTCATCAGACTATAACAAAGTTTACGAGATAACAATTCATAGGCTACAAATCCAAAGCATTGCAGTGATTGACGATCTATTGAGAAAAGAACTACTGAACGTAGATAAGTTAACAGATTAACGAGAATTAAAACCGGTGTATATATTTGTGTACTAAAAGAGATTTTACACTGAAGAAATTTCTTACGTTACATTGCCTACAATACACTTGGATTACGGATTTTAGAAATAATAATTTTGATAGTACAGTGAGAAGACGTAATTGATCTGAAAAATGTTGTTATGTTTTTGCGCGCTATACATATTTCGAACAATCTGATCACGCACATATTTACTTGTCAAGGCATTTTGATATGAAGATGAATAAAAGGTCAATTATAAATAAAAGTTCAAATAGTATACATAAGGTGATCATTGTAAATAAAACGTGAGAGAGAAAATTAACGTAATATGAAAAGAATAAGAAAGGGTAAGTAGGACATTGTCACATTGTAGTGCGAGCTACTTATAAATAGTATATGACGTGAGTGTCAACGTAATGTCTAGCAGCAGAAGATGGGGAAAGATCAAGAAAGGAAGAGTTAGAAGAACACAATGGAATTTGTATGAAACGCATGAATAGTAGTGACAATGGATTGATGTTGTTTGCAACAGGAACAGTCCAGTTCGATATGATGATGAACTGATATTTTGCAAATGAACGATTTACGATATAGTTTTCCAATTTTACTGAGTAACTCTGTAATTTTCGTTTAATACAATTCGGTTGCCCCACCTGTGTTCACGTTCACTACAAAATTACCCTAGACTTAAAGATTACCATATAAAATGCCTTGACAAGTGTGTATATGTATGTGACCAGATTGTTCGAAATATGCATTGCGCGCAAATACATCACACTATTTTTCAGATCAATTAAGTCTTCTCACTGTGTTCTATCAAAATTTATAAAAGGGACTACTGATTGTTTTAAATTTCTGAAAAGAAATAATAATAATAATGTTTTTTATTACAAATTTTTAATTATTAAAACAACACTATTTAATTTTTTTCTTCTGCAGTTTTATTAAGTTTTGTCAATGCATTCTCTGTACGAATGTCAACATTTGTTCAAGATATATTTACTTATGCTAAAGTAGCTGCTTTAGTAATGATTATTATTACTGGATTTGTACAAATTGGTTTTGGTAAGTTGATTTTAATGTCAATTTGTTTTTTCTGTATATATATGTGTATATATTCAGGGTCTCTAACTATCGGTTATCATTCTCATGCAGATCCCTACCTTGTGGTCTACATCTGCCAACATAACTCAGTCCACTTGTCAGTAACTTCATAGATTTGTGTCATGTTTTAATTTAGCTACCTCTAACTTTCTTCCAGTCTACCACTACAGCACAAGACATCTCTCGTTGAGGTAGTCGGTGGTTAGGTCATACGTAATACATGTCCCAATCATCTCAACTGACGAAGAGTCACTACTGCATCTATCGACTTGCCATTCTTACCTAGGACACTTTTCCTACCCTTTTTGTATTATTTCAGAGTTACTCAATGTATTCTATCATTTATCTAATTATTTTTATCATCTGAAGCTTGACAGACCCAAGTAGATTAAAATCCACTGTTAATAAGACAAGTTAATTGTATTTTTAATTATTTATAAATAATTGAATTATTTTAATAAAGATGAGGGAACATATTACGCAGAGAATTCTAGATAGACATGAAACGAATGGATAGTAATTGGATATAAGTGGAAAAGAAGGCTGAAGATCGAATGGGTTTGTGAATGCTGGTGGGCAACCGAATTGTATTTAACGAAAATTATAGAGTTACTCAGTAAAATTGGAAAACCATATCGTAAATCGTCCATCATATCAAACTGGACTGTTCCTGTTGCAAACAACATCAATCCATTGTCACTATTCATGCGTTTCATACAAATTCCATTGTGTTCTAACTCTTTTGTTTTCTTGATCTTCCGCCATCATCTTCTGCTGCCAGACATTACGTTGACATTCACGTCATATACTACTTATAAGTAGCTCGCACCACCCTAGCAGTTTGTAAAATTTCAAAGAGTATTATGACTAATGAAAAAAAATTAGAGATTAAAAACACAAAACTTTTATATACAAGGATTAAGTTCGAATGAGTATATTGCCAAAAATCCTTTGATTCCTTATCTAAACATTTTTCAATTAGTTCTTCATACATTTCAAGTGATTCATATGGTAATATGTTGTTACATGAATCAGTTGTATATTCAAGGATTGAGATACTGGACAGATTTGCATTCCTCTCAAGATAACCACCACGCAGGGTAGTGTCCGGGGAATTTGTTTATCAAATACCTGTTTAGGTGCCGAATATAATCTGTTCAAGAAGAATTAAAAAAAAGATGCATTTAAGGCATCTCAGAGTGGCATATTTTCGCTGATACTTTTAATAAATGAATTTCTTGAATTTAATTTTCATGACCATGAATTCACATGATCATAGATTTTATTTATAATGTATTATTTTAGTTATTTACTTAAAGTATACATTTTAAGCGGATTTAATGAGTTTTTAAGCAGGCGCATCAATAAATCACTTACTTTTGAAATGATATAATGAATTTTATTCAGTGTTATAATCCACAATCATTTTTGAACATTTTAAGCTATTTAACTCAGTTTGTTATCATTTAAATCATTAATCAGTCTGATTGTTAGACCACAATTAGAAATCTGGAGGCGCTGGATGGCCCTCTGTCGTCCTGGTATTGGATTTATCAGCAGTGTGCATCCACGACTCCTGCTACTTGCAGGATTCAAACTAAGGATTTATGGTCTTGCGCGTGAACGCTTCAGCTCTGAACCACTGGGTCGGCATCCAGTTGTGGTGATATCCAACTCTGATCAATCTTGGGTTTTTGCGCATCCTTACCCATTTGTCTTCGGTAGTTACTGCCTACACCCGAGTGGGTCACGTCTTCTCAACTAGAACTCCAAGAATTTCCTAACCAAGCTAGTCACTAGTGAGCACTGTTACGATATTTTGGGGCACAGTTTTGGAAGTTTGCGTTTTTGCTTATTTGAAATCATCAATCAATCTGATTGTTAAATCACCATTAGAAACCTGGAAGCACTGGACAATGGCCGTTTCGTCCTGGTATGGGACTCGTCAGTGACAGTGCGCATCCATGACTCCTGCTTCTCGCAGGATTCGAACCCCGGACCTTCGATATTGTGCGCGGACGTCTAATCATCAGACCACTGGGCCGGCATCCAACGGTGTTAATGTCTAACTCTGATTGATCTAGCGATTTCGCGCCACCTCACCCATTTGTCTTTGGTAGTTACTGCCTACACCCTTGTCAGGTTTGAACTCCATTGGTCACGTCTTCTCAACTAGAACTCCGAGAATTTTCTCACCAAACTAGTCACTAGTGAGGACATTGTACGATTTTATTTTCTAATGCTGATCTAACATTAACTGACTGATGATTTCAGTGTATAAAAACACTGATCTCTCTCTCTCTCTCTCTCTCTATATATATATATATATATATATATATATATATCTGTCATTTCCACACTGATCATACTTATCTATTCCTCTTAGCTTTTATCTCTGACTAAATGCATTACTTTCAAAAATTCAGGTAAAAATTTTTTTAGATCTACAAATAAAAATCCGACACCAATTACTATCTGACTGAATAGATTTCTTTATCTGTTTTTCTAACATAAATTATTGAAATCACCTCCAAAAAAAATATTCAGATTGCTCTTTACATGACTAATAATTCATTAGCAGTTGAACAGATAACCACTCTAACAACAACAACAACGAAATGTTCATTTATTTTTCTGTACGAATCTATTAATCAGTGGATAGACAACTTACTTACGTCTGTTACCCCCAATGGAGCATAGGCCGCCAACCAACTTTGTCCTGGGCTTTCCTTTCCAGTTCTGTCCAATGTTTGTTCATTCCTTTCATATTTTACTCTATATCTCGGCGTAATGTATTCTTTGGCCTTCCTCTGTTTCTTTTTGCCTTGAGGGTTCCATGTGAGGGCTTGTCTCGTGACGCAGTTGATAGACAACACTGATCAATAACTCATGAAAACTACATGATATTCAAGATTGTCGATTTGATTTCTGTTTACTAAGGCTAACACTCTAACTGCCCTTCATAACATTTAAAAAAAATTCAGTAAAAAGCCTTAAAAAATGTTTCAAGTTTTACATTTGTCTGATTTTCCAATTTTAAAAAAGGGCTCTATCTCCATTTTATTCATCTATGTTATGTCCTTACACTGACCAATAAGCAGAGACAACTTTCTGTTATACTCGTCAATTGATATGCTTGTATGCTAGTACGAGTTCAACTTAGTTGGTAAATGAGAGCGAAGACAAATGATCTAGTGATACGATAGCCTACTCTAATCCAAGTGTCCCAAGGCCCCCCCACTAAGTAGAGAGAGACATTTTTAGGTGGCGTAGAAAGTGTATTCTGCAATCATTCAGAAAATATGAGGTAGTCAAGCACACAAATCGATTTTATATATATATCACTGAAAGGTTCTTGAGAGAGCCACAAAAGTGGCTTACTAAAATAGCACATCAATCAATACTAGTCAAGGATTTTGTGGGTGGGAAATGTCATCTCATGGTCAGCTGACCAGCCGATGTCCGAAAGCATAAAATCCAAAATTAGGACATTTTCCAAGTGAGTTTTGAGGATTTGAAGTTCAAGTAACTCAAACCTTGGTCCAACACTAACTCATAGAACAAGAAGAACACCGGTTCATGATTAAAATGCAGATTGTTATCATATTTCAGATATCATTTTCTATATATATATATATATATATATATATATATATATATATATATATATATATATATATATATATATATATATATACAGAAAATAACAATGATAGATGGATGAGTGAATAAGCACATAAAAGTTCGCTGTAAAGTACACTGTCATTAAACAATAAACTATCATATTTTCGGTCAGAGTTTTGGAGGTTTTTTGTGTTTTTACACATTTGAATTCATCAATCAATCTGATTGTTAAATCACCATTAGAAACCTAGGAGCACTGGACAATGGCCGTTTCGTCCTGGTATGCACGGGACTCATCAGCGGCAGTGCGCATCCATGACTCCTGCTACTCGCAAGACCGAAGGTCATGGGTTTGAATCCTGCGCGCAAAATCCGTAGATCAGTCAGAGCTAGACATTAACGCCGCTAGATACCGACTCAGTGGTCCGATGGTTATGCGTTCGCGCTCAATACCGAAGGTCCCGGGTTCGAATCCTGCGGGGAGCAGGAGTCTTCGTGGATGCGCACTGCCACTGATGAGTCCCATGCATACCAGGACGGAACGGCCATTGTCCAGTGCTTCCAGGTTTCTAATGGTGGTGGTCTAACAATCACTGACTGATTGATGAATTCATATGTGTAAATCAATAAACTATCAACAAAATAAGAATAGTATATTGCATGATATCAAAAAAACTAAGAGTTAAAAAAAACTATTTAACAGAAGTCAGATGCAACTTAGAACTTTGTACGTAAAAACATCAGTCATGTCATTCAAGGTCTCTAACCATCGATTATTATCATCTCGCCGACCCCAACCAGGTAGTCGACACTTACCGACATGGCTAAGTCCATTCGTCAATGACTTTATGGATTTCTGCCATGTTTTGGTTTGGCCGTCCCTAGCTTTCTTCCAACCTACTCCTACACTACAAGACATATGTCATCGAGGCATTCGGTGGTTAGGCATTCGTAACACATGTCCCAACCACCTCAACTGATGAAGTTTCAGCACTTCATCTATTGATCTGTCATTCTTAACTAGCACCCGTTTCCTATTAACAGCGTTGCTCACTTGGGTGTCCCACGATATACAAGCAATGCTTCGAAGACAACTATGATCGAAAACCAGTAACCTACGAATATCTTTTACTCTCACTGGTCATGTTTCATAGCCATAAAGTAAGACGGAACGAACTACTGCACAGTTCACTCTTCCTTTAGTCAGCAAACAGATATCTCGTCTACGCCATAAGTGACGCAGGTTGGCAAAAGTCAATCGAACTTTCTGTATCCGAGCTGAGATTTCGTCAGTCACCAGGCCATCGGCACTGATGAGACTCCCCAGATATGTGAAG